CAATATTATTGAACAATATTTTCTGATATGGCTCATAATGATATTTCTCTTTTCCAACTGATGCAGCTGAAGTATTCATGGTTTGTGTATCTCGTAGAGAAACTGTATGAATGTTGCCTCGATTTACAAAAATAGTTTTAAAAATAAAAAACTCCTTTATTCAAAACAAAATTAAATTTATTATTCTAAAGTTTTGTAGAGCAAATTAATGTGACTTAAGCAGGCAGCCGTATTTCGCTATTTGATTTCAGCATTTCTGGTTAGTATTGTAACAATATCTGTCATTTTTTCTCACGACATGCTTTTAGTCTTCAAGTGCAAAAAATCAAATAAATGTTCTTAATATGTCTTTTTTTAGACGTTCATAATTACTATTATTTTCTCTTGCTTGAACAATGAGAGTTTCAATTAAAAAAGCAGAGAATGTGTGTATGTAAGAAAATTGTGTTTAAGTCACAGTAATTTGCTTTACAAAACTTTAGAATAATAAATTTAATTTTGTTTTGAATAAAGGAGTTTTTTATTTTTAAAACTATTTTTGTAAATCGAGGTAACATTCATACAGTTTCTCTACGAGATACACAAACCATGAATACTTCAGCTGCATCAGTTGGAAAAGAGAAATATCATTATGAGCCATATCAGAAAATATTGTTCAATAATATTGTTAAGCGAGGACAGCATTATGAAAATATAATGAAATTGAAAGATCGAATTGATAGACCGATGCCAACGATGCAAACTGTCATACGTTCCGATATGGATCGAAAGAAAACATACAACGTTTCTGAACGACGTTTGCAAGAAAATATTAATGGACCAAGAGGATTAAATTGGCAATGTGGGTAAGTAAACGACATAATAACAATAAATAATATCTAAAGATTATTTAAATTATCAGCATTTATGTGTATTTGCTTTTAGATTACAGTTGCAACGTTTACGACGCGATGAACGCGGGATAGAACGTGAATTACTTCGCTTAAAATTAGGTATGGATAAACCTCTCACAAGTCCACGCCCGTGTAGAGTAAAGAAGACTTCATCGGTCGTTGTTACAACATCTTCATTTGAAACAGCAAAAATTACTCGTTCCCAATAGCATCGTCAACAGTCAACACATCAACTATTAATCAGAATATTTGTAGAGTAGCGAATTTGAGCATCAAATCAATGTGTTCATCTAACAATATATTTCACATGAAATCTTTCACTATATTTTATTCTATCTTTTAAAGAAGGAAAACTATTAAAAAATTGTGCAGTTATGAACAACAGTAATGACATTTAAATGAATCGATTCAAAAAGAAAATCATTTTTCCAGATTTCTCTTTATATGAAAGAAAAGATAACACAATTGCTGGTTCAAAAGCACAGTCAATAAAAATCGTACATACGTTATCTGGAGAATGTAAGGGAATGAAATTGAGAAATTAATAGGGAATGACGCGAGTTCTTTAACTAAAACGTGTTTAGAGTAATAAACCTTTTAGGCAGGTCATTGATTTTTGATTGTTTTTCTGCTTTACTTATCTAGAGCTATACGTTAATATGGACCGTACAGTTTGCTTGGATGTAGATGAGTCAAGTAAATTCAAGTGCTATTAGGCACGGATTTCTGAAACTAGCGCAGAGAATGAGTCATTTAGTGGTTCAGAACTACGTCACCGCCTCCCTTGTAAAAGCCCCCGTCGTTGTAATCTAACTCTTTTAAAGTTTTACATTATTTTTTCATATCTCAAAGCCCTCAGTCAAGTGCCAAATCCGCTTCACCAGTTGACCTAACCAGGGATCCCGGATGATCTGATTTTGGTAGAAAAATTCTGATTTTTGATTAACTTTTAAAAAATTAAAAAAGAATATAAAAGAAGAATAAATTAAAGTTTTACGTAATTAACTTTTTTTGTGACAAATGATGAAGAATATATATAATAACAACAAAAAATCGAATACTAAATCAACAACAATAATTTAACTATACGTTAACTACATGATAAAACAAAAACTTCTTGTCTATATAGCGGCGAAAAACAGTCAAAACAGTCTTTTGTTGTTGTCGTTATCGTTGAAAAAAATAACAGAAAAGCAGACACAAAGATAAACTTTTCTTTTTAAAATATGTTCAATATTCATTTTGTGATTAATCACAAAAAAGAAACAGATTTTTTCTAACGATAACGAAAGTCACTCTTGTATTATTGTTATTTAATAAAAGGCTGATCAACACCCATAAGGCTTTTTTTTGGTTGATCGGCTAATCGATCCGTCAATCAAAAAGAAACCTCATGGGACAGATAATAATATTTTTATACAAAAAAAGGAAACTTTTGATCTACTATAAAATATAAATTCAATCAGAAAAATCACTACCATTACTATACCATCACTATCATCATCATAATATGAAAGATCAGAATCGTCTCCATTGTGAGTTTCGTCTAAACAGTTACAAAATGACTCTGATTCACAAAATCGAGGTTTTTTAAAATGAAGTTGTTTTGAAACTTTTTCAAGTTCTTTTAATGAATACTGATCAACTTTAAATATTTCTGGATTAATAAATAAAGAATTTGAAATAATTTAATACATGATATTTGTCTGTTAAGAGACGTCCTATTAAAGCTAACGTTCTTTTTTTGCTTATATATTGTTGATCAATTTTTATAATAGAGCAATGATAATCAACTAATTTGCAACATTCTCCTACAGCTCGATGGGCTACGTCAGAATAATCCCCTTTTCACAAACGTAAAAAAGTGATGAAAATTGAATTAGAAAATTTTTTTTCGCGTGTATTTTGGTGAGAAATGAAAAAGTAATTTGAAAAAAACCTTGCCAAAAATGCTGCAAAAACGATGCATAGTGGAGAAAAACTTTTGCTACAAAAATGTGCGCAATGGCTGGGTGCACGGTTTAACGTTGTCTGATTTTCGAAATTTTCTTCGATATCTTTTAAATTTAATTTTTTCAAAATTTTTTCTTTAATTCTGGAAAACAGGCAACCTTACCAGTCGATCATTGCATATAATTTTTGTAGCAAGACTTCTACTCCATGATGCTTCGTTATTGCAGGATCTTTGGCACACTGCAGTTAAGGAGTGACTCCATATACCTTATATGTACCCTCAAACTGTGTCAGTTTGAAGAGGACGATTGAATTTAAATTTGAAGGAGTGTAACATGGTGGCTAGATAGCCCAATGTGTTCTCTACAATTCTGCGCAAGGCCGACCTCTCTGCCTGTTGTGGTTCTCGAATGGCAGGCATTTGCCCGATGAAATGGTAACGAATTTCGGGTGACTCAGAAAAATGCCTGCCATTCGAGAATCACAAGAAATAGAGAGGTCGGCCCTGCGCAGAATTGTAGAAAACACTTTGGGTTATCTAATCACCATGTTGAAATTAAAAATTCACCGCAGATTCAGAATCATCGCTTTTCATCTGTCAGGTACACCACCTGAAAAACTGAGATTTTTAAGAAAAAACATATGTGAAGATAGGGTAAAGCCTTCTCTACAAAATGCTGAAAATTTGAACTCTCTATTGTTCTTGAGTTATTCTAGAACAATCCATGGTCGTTCTATTCAGACATCCATAGTAGAAACCCCGTTTGCCTGAAACCGGGTACAAATAACTGCTTATCGATAACATTTTGAAAAGATAAATACAGAGGTTTGTAGCGCTTGAAAAACTCTGTCGAATGAGACATTGCTTGTTTCAAATAAACTATTAATTTGAAAATAAAAGTGTAAGTCAACAGAGTGATATTAATTAGTGTTCATTCCTACAGGATCTTTTTTTCGTATTTATTGCATTATAATGTGTTAGACATATCGTAATGCCTTGTAATATGTTAGCTTTTCTATATTGTTATAATGCGATAAATTTAGAAAAAACATGTCTTTAACGCATTAGCGTAACGCGTTACGCGCCAAAAAATTGAATTTATAGTGTTATAATGCATTTTTATAAACGACTTCCTCATATTTTTATAATGTTACAACGCTATAAATTCGACTAACACGCTAATAGTTACAAGGTGTTACTAAATTCCTATCGCATTATAACGCATTGCAACGCGTTATGCATGTTCTAACTCATTGTAAGGCTATAGAAGTTCTTCACACGTTTCAACGACATAAATTTATTGCATTCAACTTGAACTTTAGTTACCAAAAATGGAAGGACATGAAAAAACAGCTAAATAGCTAGTCAATAGAAGTATAATGTAGCCCTATTGAATCCTGCCCTGTTTAACACAAATTACAATGCATTAACTGTTCACGCGCTGTAATGCTATACGTGACAGTGGTAATAAGTGTGCTGTGAGATTTATGTCCTAAGTCTCAAGTCAGTAACGTATATATCTGATATTATTGAAGTAATTTTTCCCGGGTCAACTGTTCGAGAGGAATCGTTTGACACTCTCAGAATTTTATGTAAATGTGTCCTTTACGAGAAAATCATGTATTTTCGTTTTGGATATTGTCTAACTCGTTCAGGTATATAGAAAAATGTTCAATATGTTTTTTTGTAGAGAATTAAATGACGCATTTTCTAAAAAAGAAATTAAAATTTTGTCATATCTCTGGACTAAGTTATATGCAAAATAAAGAATGCTGCAATCATTTTGGCGCACTCGGTAGACAGGCAGTGTGGAGACATATCCCAATCGAGATATCATTTTTTACAGTAAAATTTTTTTACATCCCGAACAGGATATCCCGATTGAGATATGCAAAAATATCTATATCCCAATCAGGATATCAAAAATTTTAATCTTTAATTTGTGAGAAAATGATTGATTATTTTATGACATCGAAGTTAGGTTTTGGAAAGTTTTTGGATTCTGAATGTTCGAAAATTTTGTCCTCATTTCGAATAGTTTCCGCTTTATTTGTTCGTTATCAACGTCTTTCTATTCAATTACGTCGACAAGCTTTTTTTGCTTATGTTTATCCTCATTTCGTTTGGATAATCAATGTTTTCTTTTATCTTACATCCCGACAGCAAGAACGACTTTGCAGCTCATATATCTTTTATTTAAAAAAAGTTTATGGCTGTTATTATCTCGACACAAATTTGTTTTTTTCTGTCTCCGGAGAACGTACCTTTTTGGATCATGTTTTTCGATATTGGGCAAAATATTTATCGATCTTGTACGAGCAGACTGATACTGTCGATTTAATCGACACCTGGCATTCGTATCACGGGATAAGAAACCAAGACTCCCAAAACCATCAGAACTGACTTCTAGTCTCCAGATATAGATACGTTTTTTCACTTTCCGCGAATGTTCTTATTCCCCACCTACAGTCATTTGATTTTTTTTGTCGGAACTTTCATACAATAAAACTAAATTTAAAATTATTCCTCACATACTCTGAAGCTTGCATATTTTAAACACCACCTCCAGCTAACACCAGTCATCTGCCATTCCTCCTTTTTTAGTCTGTATAATATGAACATTAATTTTTTCGTTTTTTGTAAACACTCATCAATCTCTCAACCGTATCCAGCCCCGATCAGCTTAGAAATCGAGATAATATGTTTCTGCTGTTACTTTTTGCGAATATATAATATGATAAATTTGAATTATACGAGAGCTGAATATTTTGCTTCTTCTTCTTCTTTATTGCCCCTCTCTAACGTTCCTAGTAGTGTTCCTGCAGCTGAAAGACGGTCGGTATGGAAAGCGATTAGATCAAGAATATATCTCATTATGAGCAATAAAAGATTAACCGCCTATTTCTCGATCGTATATAAATTCGCTAAAATTTGATAAAAATTTGTTTTTTCACACTTTTGATCAAACACAACAGAATCCGACGTAGTTTTTCGAGCTCTTTCTAATGATGACGTCAATTTTTCACCAAAACGTTGTCATTTTTCCCTTAATCGTTTTTACGACGAAATTTTGTGTTTTATATCCCGATCAGGACATTAATTTTTTTCTATATCTTGATCAGGATATAGCTATATATTCCGGATATATATTCCGATTAGGATATAGGAGGTGTTCCCTTACTGACAGGAAGAAGTAAGATCTATTGATCTTGTCAATATCGTGTTTGATCGAGTGAAAGATATGGAACTACGTCTAGCACTACTATCTATCATTAGTCAACGTCACTGTACAAAACTTCTTAAACTATAACATTACTATGTAAGAATTTTGCACGTTGTCAACCAGGCATGGCCGGGTCCAAGCGGATACCGAGTCCGAGTCCTTAACATTAAAGACCGAGTCCGGTATTCTTTTAGGTTCTTTTTTGATGAGTGGGGTTTATTTCTCTTTTTTAACTGAGCCCTGGATAGATATTTGATTTTTCGAAAATAAGGTTGTCATCCTGAAGATAATCACTCTAACAAGCAACTGCCAAGAACGATCGCTTAACTTTTGGTGAGAGACGAGGATCACTGATACCATTAGAAGAAAAAAGATCAGTGAAGTCAAGAACCTCATTCTATAAATATTTTTTCAATGTCTGTCAGGTTTGCCAGATATCCCCCCATAAGGGGGACAATCCCATATTTAAAGATTTGTCCCCCGCAAAAATCATATCGAACATCATATATCATATCGAAACATTTAGTTAAGTTTAGTTATGTATATATTTATTAATAAATACGAAGGGAAAAAAGTTTAAAGACCTTTCAACGAAATCATTAACTTCGTAAACAATAAGAGTATTAATCACGAAAATTAGAATGAATACAAATTTAACGTGCAATAATTTTATGATTAGGATCTATGATTTTGAATAACAAAGACATCCCTAGTAAGAGCATTCGTGGAATGAAAATATGAACACATTAGTAAAAAATAACGTCTGAAGTGCCCATTTAGTGCTTTTTATGTGACAAAAGATAGTTGTATTAAATTTTATGTTTTGACATAGTAATATCTACCAAAAAAAACAGAATAAAAGAATATACTCACGTGCTTGAATTTGCTCAATGACATCGTACGACAAATAGCGTGTTTTGTGTTGTTGCCCTTTGTAGAAAAAATAGTCCCCCCCCCTTTTCCTAAAATTTGTTCCCCTTTACTTTTTCTTTAGTTGGCATCGCTGTATGTGACATACAGAAAAAGAAAAAGAAGACTTACACGCTAGAATTATAATACAAAAAAAGTATATCCTGATTATAAAATGCAGTTTTCAATATAACAACGACTCTCCATCGAAACATTTAAATTAAAGACAATAAACATCTTCATACTGCATTTTCATTCAATACTACAAATGCTATGAAGCAGTGTATAATGAAGACTTCCGATGTTTTTCGATGTCAAAAAATGAGTGCGTTTTTTTCATGTTCATGTTGCTTTCATTAGTAAAATGTTTACTCCCAAGAGGTCATCTACTATATCAAAAAAAGCTATTATCATTTACATTTTCGGATAAAGTTACCAGCATTTTGAAATTCTGATCCATTTTATATGTCAAAAAATTTGACATGTCATTTTCCTTTATAAAATCTTATCATACGTTTAATCTTACTAATACTAAATTTTATCAGAGTCAGGATAGCAGTTTATTTCGTATAGAAACTACCATTTCATATTTCTTTTTAACAAAAAAATCTTATTTGCTGCAATATCCGGCTGTCTTAATTACACGTATATTTCTAAACTTAAACATTTAATTAAAATTTTTTTTTGAAATATAACAAACAAACAAAAAAAAAAAAAAAAGTAAAAGAGAAAAAAAACTTGAACGAACGAAAGTAAAACAATAATGGTAGTAAGTAAAAGAGAAAACAAATTCATTATATCTTTTTATGTCTATGGAAAGAATCACATCATCACATATCACATGATCGATATGTGAACGCGAGAAACAAATAATAACGAGGACAATTATATTCTGTTGGACAAAAGAAAAGAGAAAAAAATAAAAGAAATCTATTTTGGGATGTTTATATTGTCATCAAAAATAAGTCGGCTGAAATACTAAAATTAAATTGTAATATTAATGTGTTTGACCGTATTTGCTCGCTTACAAAATTTTTAGACAAAAATTATAAAATATAGTATGTTAGTTTTATAAATAATAAATAAATTTTAAAAAAGGCAACCCCATTTGCGATCGCTGAGTCAGTCTATCGTTTGTTTGTGTTCTTACATGTTTAATCAAGAAATTTAAGAGAAAAGGTCCATTGGTTTCTATTCGGTTGTTTTTTTTTGATAAAAACTATGTGATTATAGGTAATTGATGATGATGGTTCCAATTTTCAAGAGTCTACAAAGAGCTCTCATGGTTCTATTCGAAATTAGCATCAATAATTCTCTCACATAACTTTTATCAAAAAAAAGATTAGAAATGAGCACCTTTCCACGTTCTAGCGGTAAATAGTGAAGAAAACAATAATACAAAAGTTTGAGATTTGAAAATATGAATATATACGTTCAAGTACACATCACAAAGTGGTTGGTGGAGAAACAACAATGGCTGAATCTTAATCAATTTTTACAGTTGAATAAATTTTTCGTACAAACATACTTGTACCAACAAAACCAAACGTACCTAGAAAAGTATTGTAAAATCATGAGACATTGTTAAACTTTAGCTGAAATTAACACAGTTTTCTTACCACACATAATTCCTAGACCAATTGAAAATAATGCCATATAACCAAAATAAAATGTTGTTTGAAACATGCCATACATTCTAAAATTCAAACAAAACATTTAAAGTATGAAGTTTAGACTCATAATTAACAACACAAACTTTGTCTTAAAAAAGAAGTAGTAAATCGCATAAAAATAAACATATAACGATGATGATGCACCAGCGAGAAAACTAGTCCATTGCCTGAAATATTACAAAATGATAGTAAGAATACTTGAAAACTTCAGTGGTAGCACAAACAAACTTACCAACGATAATCTTCTGCATTTAACATAAAATATGTGGCGACAATAGTGACACATACAGTGACAACG